TCTGGTCATGCCCAGGCCTATAACATTTTAGTAAAAGGTTTATCTTTGCCTTAAGCAAGCTCTGTCTGTAGTTCTGGTCTAACTGGGATAATACACTTTTGAAATAAGTTGTAACCACCCACTTAACTTACCTGTCCTGAAATCCTATTTTAATTGTCCTGTAATCCTGTCCCACCTTGCTTTCTCCCACCTTCACATAACGGTCCTTACTTCCCTCCTTAATTTCAAATGCGTAACAGAAACTGCAACCTGTCATTCCCCAGAGGGTTTGAGAGCTTGCTTCCCAGCAATTGTCTGTTTTGGCTCAAATAAACTCATGCAAATTCTCTACAGGTTTGAATGTTTCTTACCTTAAACAAGAGCCTGAGGCTCAACAAGGGCAGGAACTCCCCATAGATCAGTGCTCCACTTCCAACTCACCATTCACTTCTGAAGCCCTCAGGGCCCAGGGCCCGGCTCAGGGACCGAACCTCCAGCCTGGGTGGAGGATCTTAAAGCCCATAATGACCAGCTCCAGGGGCAGGGATGGAGGATAAGGAGCTGGAGCAAGTCCCACCTTGAGGTCTTTTCACTGGTCCTGCTCTAATCAGGAGAAGGCTGAGCTGGGCTTGCGAAGTCAGGAGAGAGCCTGAGTGTTCCTCTGCCAGCTGAGATCTTCAGGAGCTAAACCTTCCCAGGTTGCCTTCTCAGAATTCAGATAAGGCTCGAAGGGAGGGCGGGAGGGGAGGGGTCAGCTTGGCTGATTTTCCTCCAGCAATCTGATAACCATAGCTAGCCAAGATCTTTGTCCTGAGGTCACATCTCCTGATGCCGAAGAATGAGACCTCGGACCAGAAGATTTAAGCAAAAATGTGGAAAATGTATTGCAAGCAGATTCAGACTTCCCGCACAGGAAGGGGGCCCAATAATGGGTTGCCCATGAAGCTTTATGGACTCTAGGGGTATATTTTTGCTCCAAGCCTGCTCTGAATCTACCCCATTGTTCTTCCCCAGCAAGGACCTGAACTTTCCCTGTTCCTAAGTGCCAGTTGACCTTATTGTTGCAACCCCTCCCTAGTTCCACATACCTCCCACTCCCAGTTTAAAAACATTTTGTTATTCCTGCATGGTTGGTTTCTATGAATAGGCTGGCTCAAACTGTCATGTTTGCCCCTGCCTAAGTTCCACCTGCCTGCCTGCGGGTCAAGCTAAGTCCTTTTTTTTTTCTTCTTTTTAAAAAAAAAATATATTTTATTGATTTTTCACAGAGGAAGGGAGAGAGATAGTTAGAAACATTGATGAGAGAGAGACATTGACCAGCTGCCTCCTGGACACTCCCTCCTAGGGATGTGCCCGCAACCAAGGTATATGCCCCTGACCGGAATGGAAACCAGGACCCTTCAGTCCGCAGGCCGACGCTCTATCCACTGAGCCAAACCAGTCTCGGCAAGCTAAGTCCGTTTAAATCCATCTGACTCCTCTGATTCTCCGGCCCCCTCCTAACCCTAACCCTAAGACCTGTGGCCTTCCAGAAGGTATTAAGATCTCATCTTTCCTAAACTTCTGCTTCCATCCACAGGCTGATGGCTCCCACATCTGCATCCAAGCTGGACTCTTCCCTTGGGCTTTTGCCTCTGCAACGACCTTCCCCGTGGGTGGCCACAGGCACTTTGACAAAACCAAGCTCAGTATTTGCTTCGGTCCAAATCTGCTCTTCCCTCTTCTCTTCCCCCCACCAGTGATGTCACCACAGCCTAAGGGGGTGAAAAAAGGAAGGCTTCTCTCCTTGACTGGGAATAGTGGAGTCTAAATTAGACCAGACTCTGATGCTGTAGAAAGGATACCTGTGTAACCCTGGCCAGGAAGCTCAGTTGGTCAGAGCATTGTCCCAATACACCAAGGTTGCTGTTTGATCCCAAGTCAGGGTACTTACAAGAAGCAACCAATGAGCCAAAACCGGTTTGGCTCAGTGGATAGAGCATCGGCCTGCAGACTCAAGGGTCCCAGGTTTGATTCCGGTCAAGGGCATGTACCTTGGTTGCGGGCACATCCCTAGGAGGGGGTGTCCAAGAGGCAGCTGGTCAATGTCTCTCTCTCATCAACGTTTCTACCGTGTTTCCCCGAAAATAAGACATCCTCTGAAAATAAGACCTAGCGCAACTTTGGGAGAAAAAATTAATATAAGACACTGTCTTATTTTTGGGGAAACAGGGTAACTATCTCTCTCCCTTCCTTTCTGTAAAAAAAGTCAATAAAATATATATTTTTTAAAAATCTTTAAGGGGTACCTGTGTAGGTGGGTGAGTGAGAAGGACAGAGCAGGACAGCTGGAATTTTGGAACAACTGAGGCTCTGGTTATCAAGTGAAAATGAAAGGGCAGATCAAGGCTGTAAGCAAAACTTCCCTTTTTGTTGAAGAGCCAGCCCTAGGTGCACTTAGTGGTTATCTCGATGCTGGCCTTGAAAACAAAACACTTCTATTCAGTTGAAAAATGCACCTGGCATCTCTAGTCATATAGCCGAGTTTATCTTTAAACAGGCTATAAAGTAGACTAGAGAGCAAACATTTTTAAACAGCAGTTTTTTACAAAATAGTTCCAGTTGCCTAAACCACCCATAAATCAGCCAATAGGAATGCAGAAGGCCAAATAAGCTAACCGCATCCAGTCACCTGTGTAACTGGGCCCTGGCCCTGGACCCAACCCTATAAAGAAGCTGTACTGCCGAAACCGGTTTGGCTCAGTGGTAGAGCGTCGGTCTGTGTACTGAAAGGTCCCAGGTTCAATTCCGGTCAAAGGCATGTACATTGGTTGCGGGCACATCCCCAGTGGGGGATGTGCAGGAGGCAGCTGGTCAATGTTTCTCTCTCATCGATGTTTCTAGCTCTCTATCTCTCTCCCTTCCTCTCTGTAAAAAATCAATAAAATATATTTAAAAAATAAATAAAGAAATAAAAATAAAGAAGCTGTACTCTTAGAACTCGGGGCTCTCTGCATCCTGCCGCTGCATGGGTAGAGGTGGAGAGACCGGGCTCAAGCTTGAACAAAGGACTCTTTGTTCTTGCATTGGACTCAGCTCCCTAGTGTTCTTTGGGGATCTTGAAATCTGGGCATACCATAAACACCTGTGATTTTGCAACTGGAGGTAAAGGATGCATGGGGTTGATGAGGTTGGAGGAGTTGGTGGCTACGTTGGGAACGTGGGAGCTCCTTGCTCTCTACAGCGGACTGGGAGGCCAGAAGCCTGCACTCCCGCCCTGCCCCACAACTGGTTCTGTTCTGGGAACCCTTTTTCTGCCAAGGCCCATTTGGATATTTATAACATCATTTACTGTCCATACAAAATTATCAACTTAAAAATTAGCCTGCTTAAAAATAAATTAGTCTGCTACATTTGGCCAAACGTTTAATTAACTCACTCCTTATGCCTTGGTAAGAGCCAGACCGAATGATTTCTTGGGTCTTATATGGCACAAGGGCCAAATGATTCCCCACCCCGTTAAAGGATCCCAACAACTCTGCTGCAAGGTTTATCAAATCTGACTTTTTGGAAGAAAATGGGGTAAGTGGGGCTTGGGGAATGGCCTTAGGCCCACAGTACTACTACTACTACTACTACTACTAGAGGCCTGGTGCACAAATTTGTGCCTGGGTGGAGTCCAACTAGCCCACCCCGATTGGGGTCCATCGGGCTGTCAGGGGAAAGGGCCTGAGGGTGGTTAGTGGGCCAGCCCTGCCCCCTGGTCAAACTCCCTGTCGAACTCCCATCAAGGGGACAATTTGCATATTAGCCTCTTTTTTTTTTTTTAATGTATTTTATTGATTTTTTACAGAGAGGAAGGGAGAGGGACAGAGAGAGAGAAACAGTGATCAGCTGCCTCCTGCACACCCCCTACTGGGGATGTGCCCGCAACCAATGTACATGCCCTTTGACCGGAATCGAACCTGGCACCTTTCTGTCCGCAGACAGACGCTCTATCTGAAATATGGTACCACTCATACTTGGGTAAAAACTGCTGTTTGAATTTTAACCTTGCTATCTGACTTCTACCTTCGATTGCTTGCTTAAACAATAGGATAGTTACAGGAGATTGACTCCCACTGACTCAGTAGCTTCAGGGGTAGAAACTGTAGATAACCTTTAGTTCTGCTTTTACATTATGGGCAAGATAGGGCCACATCCAAAGTCAAGCAGAGTGTGACTGGGAACCAACCCTGCAGGCCGTCCCCAGTCTTTAGAATTTAGTCCTGAGGGGCCAATCAGGGTTAGCCGAGGCAGTGACATCACTGACCTGAATAAAACTCCTGGACTGGGCGAATTTCGCTCTCTTCCGCCATGCTGCCGGCATGAGTGGGATAGCCTATGCTAGCATAGAGATGGCTCTTTTGTTTATTGCATCGGACTCGGCTCCCTGGTGGTCCTTGGGGATCATGACTGGAATCCCCAGCCAGGACCAGGAGGGACCCCCATTCCGGAGAGCCTGACTGGCCGCGGTAGGTGTGTGTTTGTCTGTGTTTTTGTGTGAGCGCTCTGGAGGGACTGCCCCTCCATCGGGGCTCTTACCTGGGTGTTTACCGGCTGCTGCGTCAGCCATGGTTTGAGTCCAGATTCAAATCTGTAATAAACTCTAGCATGCTTAATCAAATTGGCTCCGGTGGTCCATCTCTTGGGGACTCGCTTCGTAACACTATCCACTGAGCCAAACTGGTCACGGTGCATATTAGCCTTTTATTATATAAGATTATTACCGTGTTTCCCCGAAAATAAGACATCCTCCGAAAATAAGATATCCTCCGAAAATAAGACCTAGCGCATGAAAAGATAAGACATCCCCCGAAAACAAGACCTAGCGCAACTTTGGGAGAAAAAAATTAATATAAGACACTGTCTTATTTTCGGGGAAATGGTATTATTCCCCCCCCCCCCCCCCATCCCCATGGAGGCCTGGCTGGTGACAATAATTAACTGCTGAGTGGCCTTCGCCCGATCCCAGGCTCTACTCCCGGGCCACATTCCAACTGCCTGCCTGACTGCCCGTCTCCTAGGCCACTAAACCCCAGACATTCCTGAAGTAAGGTGAGGGCAAGACTTGGAAAGCAGAGCAGATGCCTGAGCTGCACCGAGAGCCACCTCCACTCCCAGGTATGCCACTCCCCACCTATCACAGGTACGCCCAGCATGCATAAAGGATTGGCCAGATCGGAAGGGTCCACTCTGCCTGACGTGCAGAGATTCCAGCAGCGGAGATGGAGGCCCGGAGCAGAGCAGGGCCTGCCCGAGGTTAAACTAGAAGTTAGTGTCCATCCCCGAACTAGAGCCCCAAGCTCTAGCCTTCCTGCAGAGCACCCAGCTGCACCTAGGAAAGCGAGGAGGGGCTTGTAGAGGGACGGAGCAGGCTCCGAGAGGAAGAAGCCTCTGGCTCTAGAAAGCAGCCACAGTTTGAAAAGCTACTGATTGGCCAGGTGGGAATCCAACAGAACCGGGAGAAAGGGCTTTCTCCCCCCCCCCCTGGTGCCAGGACTGGACTTCAGTTTCCCCTGAGAGCCTCAGCAGAGAGGCCCAGGGGCCCCACGCTGGAGGAGCTCTGGACTTGAGGATCCCAGAGTCAGACTTGGGCAGGGAGGGTGTCCCCAGACTAGGATCACATCTCTCAAACCGTACCCAACTGATGCCTCAACCAGTGCCCAGCTGGCTATCATGCGTTGGGGGTCTCCCCCCACATTCCCCCCCCCCCCCCCCCCCCCCCCCCCCCCAGACATGTAATTCTCAGATGAGAAAACTAAGCCTCAAGATAATTTGGGTTATTCCCTCCCCACCCCCCACCTCCACCCCGAGATCACATAGGAGTTGAGTGTGAGGGCTGGGATTGTGGGCAGGCTGATCTGAAACCCTGAGCCCTAAATTGCTAGACTTTGTTTCCCCAAGGAGCCTGATTGGAAGAATCACCTGGTGGTCCCCAAGAGTACAGATTGGGTCCTGAATGAATGAATTAGCAAGTGATAGAACGAATGAACTGTGGAATAAATAAAGTAGCAGACTGTGGTTGTGGAAGGGTACGGGGAGTGGACAAAAAAAAGGGGGGAGGGTGGCATTCTAGGGAAAGTAGCTTCACGGGGTGACCTGAGGAATTCCTAACGAGGCAGGTCAGGGTGGGTTAGTCACGCCCCAGGCACATACAACTTCTTTACGGAAAAGATTATCTTAGCCTTAAGCAAATCTGTTCATGTGTTTCTGTGGAACTAGATTGCCACCCTTTGAAATACCCCTTTCAGACCCCTCCTTCTAATAATACCTGGCAATTCTTTCAGACCCTCCTTCTAAAGTTCGTAAGAGGTAATCTGACCCCCACTTTGCCTTCTTCCACCTCCAGGTAACCTTTCTTACCTTCCCTCCGTAATCATAAGAGAGACTTCGAATTTATTTTCCAAAGCATTTTTTTTTTCATTCTGTTGAGATCTTGCTCACATGAACTCCTACAAAATTCTCAACAGGCTAGGATGTTTCTTAGGTCAACCGAGGGAGGGAGGAGGTGGGAGGAGGAGAAGGAGGAGAGCTAGGTGGGAATCCAGTTCCAGGTTTCCCGGAGCGCTGCTGGGCTTGAGTCTGCCCAGAGGCTGCTCAACTCAGGTCCTGTCCATGAGTTCTACAGATGGATGGAATGTGGAGGCGAGGGGACTTGGTGAGCAGGGGGCACATAGGCTGTGGGAAACGAGGGTTTTAGGAGGGCCAGGCATCTGCTGACGAGGAGGCTGAGGGAACAGTTACCTCCCCAAGCTCAGTGTCTGAGGCTAGAGGATTGAGGGGCCACAAAGGCTGAGTGGAGGCCACCTCTGTGGTCGGAGGCTCAGGAGCCCCTCCCAGGGACTGTCCAGCTGGCTGCCAGTGCCCACCCAGCAAGCCTCTGTGCCCTGTGACCTCTACAGGGGCTCTGGGAGAAGCCAAATGATAAGGCTGGAAGGAGCTAGAACCAAGCTTTTTAAAATTATTATTTGAGAGAAAAAGAGAGAAACAATTGATTCGTCATCGCACTTATTGCATGCATTCATTGGCTGGTTCTTGATTGTGCCCTGCCTGGGATGGAATCCGCCAGAATGGAGACTATACTCTAATGAACTATACCTGGCCAGGTGGAAGAGGCTTTGTTTAAAAAAAACAACAACAACAACAACAAAAAACAACAACACATAGGTCTACAGCTTATCTGGAGCCCTAACATGAAGATAATTGTAAACTTTCACAAAGTCATTTGGTGTAAAAAAATATATCTGTCCTGAAAATTAATGTGAGGTTACTATCGTTTTTATTTATCCCACCGGTGTAACTATTTCACCACAGAGAGTGCCAGCCTGATTGGATTTGGTGTTACCTTTTAGAAAAATCCTAAAAAAGATTGTGAACATGGGATTGGGTACCCATGGTGCTCTCCTGGCTATTTCTGCTTATTTCCCAAACCCCATCCCTTAGTGTATGTATCACTTGATCCTCATAAAACGTCAGGGAGGTCCCACCCGGACTGTCCCAAAAGGTGGTCCCACCCCTCACGGAGGCCGGGAAGACTGGGGCGTGGGGCGTAGGGCGTACACTGCCCCAGGCTTCCCCGAGGCTCCACCCACCCGGAGCTGTTCTTATACCTGGAGGCCCTCCCTCCACTCTTCCTTCTGGGACCAGCATGGCTCCGACGCAGCTGTGGCTCCTTCTGGTGTGGGCAGCCGAAGTATGGGCAGCCAGGCCCAGGACTGAGCTTCTCAATGTCTGCATGAATGCCAGGCACCACAAGGAAAAGCCAGGCCGGGAGGACAAGCTGCACGAGCAGGTGGGCCGAGGTGGAGGAGGGGTGGTCTGTGGGGAGGAACTGACTCTGTTGAAAAAAGCTGGAAATTGCCAAAACCGGTTTGGCTCGGTGGATAGAGCCCCGGCCTGCGGACTGAAAGGTCCCAGGTTTCATTCCCTTCAAGGGCATGTACCTTGGTTTTAGGCACCCACCCGGTGTGGGGTGTGAAGGAGGTAGCTGATGGATGATTCTCTCTCATTGATGTTTCTAACTCTCTATCCCTCTTTCTTCCTCTCCATAAAATAAATAAATAAATAAATAAAACAATAAAATGTATTTTTTTTAAAAAAAGGAAAGAAAGAAAAAAGCTGGAAATGAAAGGTTAAACCCTCTCTGTGCCTGAGGAGACAGATTTTCAGACCTTGGTCTATAGTGGAGGGTTGTTTTTTTTGAGGGGGGAGGGGGTTTAGATTTCAAGTTAATATCATTAATATATTATTGATTTCAGAGAGGAATGGAGAGGGAGAGAGAGATAGAAACATCACTGATGAAAAAAGAAAAAGAAAAAAAAGAGAAACATCACTGATGAGAGAGAATCATTGATTGGCTGTCTTTTGCACGCCCCACACTGGGGATCGAGCCTGCAACCTGGGCATATGTCCTGACCAGGACATATGCCCGTGGCCTCTTGGTTCCTAGGTTGATGCTCAACCACGGAGCCAACTGGACAGTGGTTGAGGTTCTTAAACTGGCCAGGTTCTTTTTTTTTTTTTTTTTTTAATTGATTTTTGTACAGAGAGGAAGGGAGAGAGATAGAGAGCTCGAAACATCAATGAGAGAGAGTCATCAATCAGCTGCCTCTTGAACACCCCCTGCTGGTCATATGCCCACAACCAAGGTACATGCCCTTGACCGGAATTGAACCCCGGTCCCTTCAGTCCCCAAGCAGATGCTCTATCCATTGAGCCAAACCGGTCCTGGCCTAAACTGGCAAGGTTCTTAAACTCTGCTCCAGGGAACGTTTCTCTCTCATTGATGTTTCTCATTGGAGAAACATCAATGAGAGAGAATCGTTCCCTGGGAGACTTCAGAGAGGCACACAGGGTACTTGGGAGACCTGGGAGGAAACCTAAGATTCCAGGAAGCATCCCAGGGACTGTGGGCACCCATTCTCCATATTTCCCAGCCCACATCTCACTGCGCATTTTGTCATTTGTTCTTCCCCGTGTGATTTTCTTAAATATAATTTTGTTGTTGTTGATTTCAGAGAGGAAGGGAGAGGGAGAGAGAAACATCAGTGATGAGAGAGAATCATCAATCTGCCTCCAGCATGACCCCTACTGGGGATCAAACCCACAACCCAGGCATGTGCCCTGACCATGTGCCCTGACCGGGAATCAAACTGTGACCTCCTGGTTCACAGCTTAATGCTCAACCACTGAGCCATGCTGGCTGGGTTCCCAGTGTGATTTTTGTCATCAGAATAAAAATCTAATCTCCGACCAGGTAGCACAGTTGTTGGAGAATTGTCCCCATACTTTGTCTCCCAAACATGGGGTTTGGAGTTTGATCCTTAAGTCAGGGTACATAATCAATTGAATGTGTAAATAAGTGGAATAAAAAGTCTCTCCCCCCTCTCTCTCTCTCTCTCTCTCTCTCCTTTAAAAAACAAAAAGATTAGAAATCTGGCATCTATTTGTTTAACATAAACTCTGTGCCTGTGTTGCCAATACATTGTCAACAGCTCAACTTCTTAGGCTGTTGGGTTTCTGTCTCACACAAGTCAGGAAGCAGGTCCAGAGAGGAGCCTGGGAAGTGACACTGAAGAGACCCCTCCCTGGGGTTGGTTTTTGTTGGTTAATTCTCACCTGAGGGTATTTTTCCATTGATTTTTTTTTTTTTTTTTTAGGAGTGGAAGGGTGGGGGAGAGGCCTAGAGAAACATCTTTGCCAGAGAGAGACATGGATTGGCTGCCTCCTGCACGTGCCCGACTAGGGCCTGGGATTGAGCCTGCAATTGAGGTATGGGTCCTTGACCAGAATCGAACATGGGACACTTCAGTCCACAGGCCACAGAGCCCTAATCATTGAGCCAAAAATGGCTAGAGACCAGAGGTTGATTTTGATTTCAGTTTAGACTGGGAATGACCTCTCCAAGGATCTGAGAGGATAAAGTATACACACTGCACATAGTGACTTTTCTGCCAGCCCCAAACTGCTCAAGAAAAGAGGGTCTCCCCATGGTAAGGCTGGGCATGAGGCACCTTGATTTATGCATCTAGCAAACATTTCCCCTGGGGAGGTCTACCAATGACAATTATGCCACACCCCTTAAATAACCAGAACCAACCTAAACATTTAAAATTTATTTATTTCAGAGAGTAAGGAAGAGGGAGAGAGAGATAGAAACATCAATGATGAGAGAGAATCATCGATTAGCTGCCTCCTGCACACTCCCCAGAGGATCGGGCCCCTGACCAGAATCGAACCTGAGACCCTTCAGTCCAAAGGCCGACGCTCTATCCACTGAGCCAAACCAGCCATGGCTTTTATTTTTTCTTTATAATGTTGGCATCATATTGATTTTTTTAAAAAAATCTTTAGGTTGGGCCCTAGCCAGTTTGGCTGAATCTCGGGTTTGTTTCTGGTCAGGGGCACATGCCTGGGTTGCAAGTTCGATCCTCAGTGTGGGGCGTGCAGGAGGCAGCCAATCAATGGTACTCTCATCACTGATGTTTCTATCGCTTTCTCTCTCTTCCTCTCTGAAATAAATAGAAATATATTTAAAAAACAAAAGGAAGTCACTTGTAATGTGCATTCCAATATGTGAATGTCCATTTTAACCTCATCAGCAGGTAATTATCCCAGTCCCAGTTGTGCTTGTTGTGAGGACTAAGCAACAGCTGGCAGTGCAGACTGACCATAGGTAGTGATGTAACCTGGGTACTTCTAGTGTTGCAGAAAACCAGAGAAGAACCAAGCAATGCTTAGAGAAATGGAATCACTATTATTATAACTTGCGAGCCCAGAGAAAAATGCCTTTCAAATTCTGGGCAAAAAACCTGGAGGAAATTTCCCTATTTATATGTTTTTACCTTCTTTGTTTCCCAAATATGATTTGTTTGTTTTTTCCTATCCCCTTTGCAAGTTCTTTTTTTTTTTTTTTTTCCCCAAGGCAGTTGTATAACTTTATTCGACCATCAGCACTAGTTCTCGTCCACATTAACGGTCTGTAGATTTTTGAAAGTGGTGACAGGCACATAGGTGACCAACGTATACAGTTTGTTTGGTGAATCTTCATCCTCATTACGTTTTCTAGACAAACGTACCGGGATACGATATGGGACATTCCTTACTCCTTTGGCCCACACAGCTTTGTTGAGCCTGGTGTCAATGCGCACGTCGGGGGTTCCCATCTCCTTCATGGCGAACTTCCGGATCTCCTTGAGGGCCCGGGGGGCACGCTTCTTGAAGCCCACGTCGTGGATGCGCTTGTGGATGTTGATGGTGTACTCCCTGGTCACCACCTCGTTGATGGCGGAGCGGCCCTTCTTCTTCTCGCCACCCTTCTTTGCGGGAGCCATCGTGCCCAGCAAGTTGGAAAGAAAGACCGCAGGGTATTCCCCTTTGCAAGTTCTTAAAGAGCCTAAGTGCTGGGGCTTTGAGACTTCAACCAAAGGCTTGGCCTGACATCAGCACTGATAACTTCCCCTGGGGGAAGGTTTATGGTCTTTCTGGAATGGGAGTAGTCTTATTTTCCTTATTATTTAAGCAAGCAAGTAAGCATTTACAGAAGCCAAAATAACAGAATTAAAATTTCAAACAGCAGTTTTTATATAAGATGGATGCTTCACTAGCAGCAATGACATGAACTTTTTCAGCCTATATGTATACTTAAAGTGCATATTTTATTTTGCTTATACTAAGTTCTAGGTCATAGGTTCTATTCATTCAATAAGAATGTTTTGAGAACCGTCAAACTTTGTTTCTCGAACATCTCCCATCCTGAACAATTCTGATCTAGAACAAGTGAAAATATGTCTCTGTTGAGCCAAACTTCGGTTTGGGACCTGACAATCCTTGCAGGCTGATACCTCAGCTTGACAAAAAGCAGCTTTCAGGTAACAAAGGAGAGAAGAATGCTTTTGTTGCTGGCGGAAATTGATGGTTAGCACAACTTTTTAACATAAAAACGCCACGGAGAGTGCTAATGTTGCCCTAGCTGGTTTGGCCCGAAGGGTCCCAGCTTCAATGCCAGCTCTAGTGCGGATAGCATGGTTGCAGGCTTGATCCCAGCCCTGATTGGGGCACGTGTGGGAGGCAACCAATCAATGGGTCTCTCCCATTCTGTTTCTCCCCTTCCACTCTCTAAAAAAAACATGAATGGGTGAGATCATGTATTTATCTTTCACTGACTGGCTTATTTCTCTTATTTGTGGAACATAAGGAACATTATAAACTGATGAACAAAAATAGATACAGAGGCAAAGAAGCATCTAACAGATTGTCAAACTACTGGGGAAGGCAGGGGAGGACTGGGGAGGGGGCGAGATAAGAGATCAACCGAAGGACTTGTAGGCATGCATATAAGCTTAACCAATGGACACAAGACACTTGGGGCAGGAGGGAGAAGGGAGGGAATGCACCTGGAGTGAGGGTGGGGATAAAGGAGGGAGCAGGGGGATAGGGGAGGAGGTCTATGGGGGAAAAAAGACGAGTACTAGTACTTGTAATACTTTAGACAATAAAATGAGATTTATAAACTAATGCGAAAAGTATCCTGGTGTGAGGATTAACAACAAAAAACGTTAAATTAAAAAAAAAGTACTGATGTTCTTAGGAGTGTGCAAGAGGGAGTGGTTTGATACATTTTAGAAAAGAAGTGTTTATTTAAAAGAAGATTAAGCAGTACATTAGACATGTACTATATATAAGAAAGTTTAAAACGGAATAATTTGGGGGTCTGGAATGGATTAATTTAATTTATATTATTTCTAATGGGAAACAATGACTAGATTTTCTAACAAACGGTTTCTCAAAACAGCCTTCTGAACGAATTAAGTTCGAGAACCAAGGTTCCATTGTGTTTATTAGAACTTTTCTGGGGTTAGAACTTGCTTCCTCACCTCCTGGTCTTTGCTACTAAATCAATGATGCTTAATTGGACTATTTTAAAAAATTGCAATTTCCCATCCCTCTCCCCTACATTATCTCCCCCCCCCCCCCCCAAAGCATTTATCCTATGAGAAGTTTTTCTTGCTTTGTCCCAGTTCCTAGAAAAGTGCCTGGTTAAGTGTAAAGTAAGAGCTCAATAAAGATTTGATTTAATTTTGTAGTGATGACATCTCCCCAAGAGAGGGCCCCCCAACAGCGACTATTTCCCTGAAAGACCCAACTGCGCTGGGGAACCAAGGGCTCAGATGGGAGAAACTGCCTGTGAGGATCTTCTGTGCTGGTCCTGGGACTCAGTCCTGTGTCTTCCCCACCCAGTGCAGTCCCTGGAAGAAGAACGCCTGCTGCTCAGTCAACACCAGCCTGGAAGCCCATAGGGATGTCTCCCTCCTGTACAACTTCAACTGGGACCACTGCGGCCCCATGGCTCCCGCCTGCAAGCGCCACTTCATCCAGGACACCTGCCTGTATGAGTGCTCCCCCAACCTGGGGCCCTGGATCCAGGAGGTATGACTTCCTCCCCATGCCGGCTTCCCAGACATCTCCTGGTCCTGCCTCTGCAGCTCTGGGGCTCTCTAGGGCTGGGCTACTGAGAATCCTGGGTCTGAGTCCCTTTCCCCTACCGACATCTCCCAGGTGAACCAGAGCTGGCGCAAAGAGCGGATCCTGAATGTGCCCCTGTGCAAAGAGGACTGTGAGAGCTGGTGGGAAGACTGCCGCACCTCCTCCACCTGCAAGAGTAACTGGCACAAGGGCTGGAACTGGACCTCAGGTGAGAGCCTGGTGGGTGGGGAGAGAGGGATTAGGAGGGGAGGCTGGGGTGTGAGATGGGCATATGAAGGGACAGAGTTGAGGAGTTGGCAGAACCAGACATAGTTTAGGGTCCAATGGCTAAAGGGCTTCCATCCTCCCACAGGGATTAATGAGTGCCCGGTGAAGAATGCCTGCCACCGCTTTGATTTCTACTTCCCCACGCCTGCTGCTCTGTGCAACGAAATCTGGAGTCACTCCTTCAAAGTCAGCAACTACAGCCGAGGCAGTGGCCGCTGCATCCAGATGTGGTTTGACCCGGCACAGGGCAACCCCAACGAGGAGGTGGCCAGGTTCTATGCAGAGGCCATGATGAATGGAGCTGAGCTCCATGGGGCCTGGTCTCTCCTGCTTGGCCTGGCCCTGCTCCTGCTGCTCAGCTGAGCTCCCTTTACCTTCTGATACCTGGTCATCCCCCCACAGTTCAGCCCCGAGGCTCAGCTCCCATGGTGGGAGCTCTGTCCAACAGTTTGAATAAACTAGTTACCTGCATGTCTATTGCAAATGATTTGGGTGTGAATAGGGATGTGACTTCTGCTTCCCTGTTGCCATTGACTGACACTTGGTCAGTTCCCAGCTCTGATTCTTGCTATTTGCTAGATACTTAAAATATTCTAATCAAGGACATATTCACAGTTTTCAATTTCATTTTTCACTGTAGAGTCAGGCCCAGGACTTTGTCATTTGAATTGGACCAAAGCCTCCCAGGGTTGACTGTTCTGTCCTGAGCTCGGCTCTTCAGTAGAAGAGAGGGAATGGGAGTGACCAGCATGTTCTGGAAGCTGGCTGGGAAGAGGTGAAGGGGGCCAGCAAGAGCCATACCTCTATACAGCTATTGTAATACCCGCAAATCACTCCCTGCCAGGCATTTTCCTAAATGCTTTATGTTTATTCCCATAAGGTGTAGATGCTATGGTTTGCATTTACATATGTGAAAACAGGCCCATGAATTAAGGGACATGGTCAAAGCCATCCCCTGCATGAGAGCTGGGCTTACACTCCAGGCAATCTGGCTGTTGGGAACAAGCTCTGTCCCTTGTGAAGTGGGTGAATGTGTGCATTTTAAAGGGATACCGTACCCATGCCTGACCAGAGGAGCTGGGCCTGAGCTGCCCTGGCAGAGCTAGGACTGGATCCCAATCCTAGAACAGGTTCCAAGCCAATGATTTGACAGATATGTGGGCACTGATCTCACATTAAGTGTAGTTTGTAGCAGTTGTGATAAGCTGGGTTATGTTCCAGTACCATCCCTGAGATCTTAGTGGCTTATCACAACTAACATTTACTGGTATATCTTGCTCAAGCTACAGTGATTAATGTGGGGGATACTGCTGGGCACTCAGCGAGGCAGGCTGATGGAGGGGCCATCTGATCACACACTTTTATGAGACAGGAATAGGGGATGGGAGAGTGAGAAGTATCAATGTTGCGAGAGAATTATTTTTAAAAATATATTTTATTTTTTTACAGAGAGGAAGGGAGAGAGAGAGAAACATTGATCAGTTGCCTCCTTCACACCCCCCACTGGTACATCCAAGGTACATGCCCTTGACCGGAATCAAACCCGGGACCCTTCAGTCCATAGGCTGACACTCTATCCACTGAGCCAAACTGGTTTTGGTAAGAGAATTATTGATTGACTGCCTCCTGCACATTCCTTACTGGGGATTGAACTAGCAACCAGGGCATGTACTCTGACCAGGAATCAAATCATGGTTCATAGGTCAATAGTCAACCACAGAGTCACACTGGCCTGGTACCCACCTATCACTAGTATTTTGTTGGCCAGCTTATGTTATGACCATGACTAACTTCAAAGAGGCCAGGGAAGTACAATCCTACATGTGCCTGGAAGGAGAGGGCGATCAAAATGTTTGTCAACAGACCTAATGACTACTACAAAGACTGTTATGCTATGGTCAGTATATTTCTGGCAGGTCATAGTTACAAATGTATTTTTTGGGTTTGGTTTTGATAAGGAGGACCACATGGAAAGTGGTACGATCTACTGGCTACCACCCTAAATAGTCTTGCGAACACAGTTAATTAATGTATTATATTCTCTACAGAATTTGTGACACTTTACAAATATGGCATATTTATAGATGTAATAGAGGCTCCATGCACAAAATTCATGCAAGGGGTACGGCCCTTGCAGCCATAGCCCTGGCTTCACCCAGAAGGTCATCCAGAAGGACATCTGCAAGGCCATTCAGCTATCCAGTCTAATTATATTATGCTTTTATTGTTATAGATTAAAATTACTGAAATTTAAGATTAGAATCACCTCAATCCAACACCTCAAAGGTCTACTGTGTTGATTGTGAATCATTTATAAAAATATATGGCCTTAGCCATTCATGGGTCAATGCTCAACCACTGAGTAATTTAAAAGACAACAGATTGGAGGAAATATTTGCCAAACACAAGTCTGATAAAAGATTTGTATCCATGCCAAAACCGGTTTGGCTCAGTGGATAGAGCGGATAAAGCATCGGCCTGCGAACTGAAAGGTCCCAGGTTCGATTCTGGTCAAGGGCATGTACCTTGGTTGCAGGCACATCCCCAGTAGGGGGTGTGCAAGAGGCAGCTGATTGATGATTCTCATCGATGTTTCTAACTCTCTATCCCTCTCTCTTTCTCTCTGTAAAAAATCAATAAAATATATTAAAAAAAAAAAAAAGATTTGTATCCATACTATGCAAAGAATGGCAACAATCTATATACAGTGGTGCCTCACACAACGAACTTAATTCGTTCCAGGAGCAAGTTTGTTATGCGAAAAGTTCGTTATGTGAAACGCGTTTTCCCATAACAATACATGTTAAAAAAAATAATTCGTTCTGTAGCATAAAATATGCTAAGATGACATAAAAAAAGATAAATTTTTTGTTATTATTTTTATTTAGATACATCTAAAAACATAATTTAAAAAAAAAAACACATTTTTTTAATTTTAAGACAGACTAAGTAGAGTCTACCGAATCTTGCACATCTTCATCCATTTTCTGCTTTTTGGCCAATGGTTTCATGAAAAACCTGTCCAAAGTCGTTTGTTTTTCTCTTTTCTCCAACATCTGCCAGAAATAACGGACAAGAGTATCGGAGTAAAGATCGTTGATCCTGTTTGCTTCAGCTGAATCCGGATAGTGGGCATTGGTAAACTCCTGAACTGCTTTCCATTTGACCAGGATGTTCTTGATGTCAGCAGTTGGGATTGTTTGATTGTTGCTCCTCGTTATCAGATGACGCTTCCCTTTGAGCATTGTCCTGTTGCTGGACCAGAAGTGCTTGGAGCTCTTCAGTTGTCAGCTCTTCTTCGTGTTCCTCAATAAGCTCCTCTACATCCTCTTCCTCTACCTCTAATTCCAACCTTTGGGCCACTGTGATGATGTCCTTCACCACTTCTGTGTCATAACTACTGCTTCTTCCTGGGTCCACGAAGGCACAAGCATCTTCCAAGCAGAAATGAGGGTCCTTTGTGACACTTCTTCCCAGGCCTTCTGTATAAGTCGTATTGCCATAAGGACATCAAATTTCTCCTTCCAAAACTTTCGGACAGTCATATTGTCTCCACCAAACTCGCATTCTTCAAACACCTTATTAAAGAGGGCTCTAATGTAGAGTTTTTTAAAGTTCGCAATAACTTGCTGATCCATTGGCTGAAGAATGGATGTGGTGTTTGGTGGCAAATACTGCACCTTGATAGTAAAAGGATAATTTTCCTGCAATATTTCCTCTAGGTCTTTTGGGTGAGAAGGGGCATTGTCAAGTATCAGAAGGGCTTTGAGCGGCAGTTCTTTTTCCAGCAAGAATTTCTTCACGGCAGGAGCAAAGGTTTCCAGAATCCATTCGTTGAAGATAACTTGGGTCACCCAGGCTTTTTGATTGGACTTCCAATGGGCGGGCAGTTTGGACTTAATAACGTTATTTTTCTTGAAAATTCTTGGATTTTCAGAGTGATAAACCAATAGAGGTTTGATCTTGAGGTCTCCGCTGGCATTAGACGAAAACATAAGGGTAAGTCTGTCCTTCATGGCTTTGTGTCCTGGCAATTTCTTCTCCTCTTTTGTAATGAAGGTTCTGCTCGGCATTCTTTTCCAGAAAAGACCCGTTTCATCGGCATTGAACACTTGTTGTGGGCAGTATCCTTCATCCTTAATACATTTTTGAAAGTTAATAGAGAACTTTTCTGCTTCTTTCTTGTCAGCACTGCCAGCCTCACCATGCATAGTAACGCTGTGGATTCCACACCTTTTCTTAAATCTAAAAAACCACCCCCTGCTGGCTTTGAATCCTTCTTCATTATCTTGATTGCTGCTACTTCCAGGGACTGTTTTTCTTTAGATCAGTCATAAATTCTCTTGGCTTTGTGACAGATAATATCTTGGGTTGTTACGTCACCTTTCACCTGCCTGTCCTTAATCCAAATCGCTAATAGCCTCTCCATTTCCTCGTGGATTGAAGACCTATGTTTTTCATGAAATAGTTTTGATACTCCTTTGGCTACTTTGGCTGATTTGATTGCATCCTTATTTGTCAAAATGGTGAAAATGGTGGTCTTGCTGAGGCCAAACTCTTTGACGAGGTCACACTGTTTTACCCCACATTCACTCCTAATTATTTCCTATTTTATTTCAACAGAAATCACCTTCCTGCTTTTTTTAGAAGCCATGATATAAAAAAAATATTGAGTTTAACTTAAAAGGACGACTGCCGTGATATGTGTGTGATTTAATTCGTAATGAAGAACGATTGCCGTGATACGTGCTTAAGTTAAGCGCAGTGACTAACGACTGCCTGCAGTGCCTGCGCGGAAGGATGCAATACATCGGCAGCGATCATGGAAGCTCGGGCGAAGCAGTCGTGGAAGCTCGGGCAAAGCGGTCATGGAAGCTCGGGCGACTTCGTTGTGTGAAACGAAGTTCGTTGTATGAATCATGAAAGGAAGTTCGTTGTGTGCAGTGTTCGCTGTGCGAGGCGTTCTTTATGCGAGGCACCACTGTATATAAAAGCCTAAGTGACTGGAACGACTGGTAGCTATGACACACACTGACCACTAGGGTGCAGACACTCAATACAGGAACTGCCGCCTGGCATTCAGTGCTCTGTCATAGCCAACCTCCCCCAGCTGGCTGGGCTGGGACAGGGAATGGGCTGGGGCAGTGCCTTTCCCAGGAGGGCCAAGGGCTGGCTCCCTCTTCAGGGCAGGCATCCAACCTCCCATGTCCTGTCCTTGCCCCTGGCCAGTAGGCCCAGATCAGCTTGCTGCCTGCCTGCCACGGTGGCTGCATTGGCGGCAAGGGAAGGAGGGGGGAAGGAGGGCACCATGCAGTGGCAGGCTGCGGACAATGGTAGTGTAGGTGTCTGGCGTTCCTTCCACGCCCAGCATGGGACCTGTAGTTTCCTCTCTGGCCTGGCCCTGATAGGCCTAGCTCCAATCAGCCCTGATCGCTGGCCAGGCCTAGGGACCCCACCAGTGCATGAATTTCGTGCACCAGGCCTCTAGTTCAATAATAAAAACAAACAGGCCCGTGAAATAATGGGCAAAAGAAATAAATGGACATTTCATCAAAGAAAGTACATGAGTGGCTAAAAAGTACGTGAAAAGATGCTCAACATCTTTTGGAAATGGAAATTAAAACCATAATGATGCACCATTTCATCCCATTAGACTGACTATGATAATACTGCCAATAACAAATGTTGGTAAGGATGTGGAGAAATTGGAACCCTCATACATTGCTGATGGGAATGTAAATGGTTCTACTCTTTGGAAAACAGTGCGAGTTTTTCAAAAGTTAAATCTTATAGCCCAACAAAACAAGAGAAATGAGAATACATATCACACAAAAACTTACATTTGAATGTTAATAACAGCATATTCATAAAAGTCCAAAATTGGAAACAACCTAATTGTCCATCAACTGGTGAATGGATAGACAAAATTTGTTGTATCTATAGAATGGAATACTTTTTTATCAAGAAAAGCTAATACACTATTGATACATGCTATGTCATGGATGAACTTTAAAAACATTGTGCCAAGTTAAAGCCCATTTGTATGAAAAATTCCAGAAAAGGCAAAAATATAGATAGAAGTAGATTAGTGACTGCCTGGGACTGGATTTGGAAACAGGAATTAACTATAAATGTGTATGAGAAGGAATGAAAATGTTCTAAATATTATGGGGGGCAGGGAGGTAGAGGAAGGTATAGGATGATGGAAGGAGAATTGACTTGGAATGGTGAACACAATACAGTGTACAGATGATGTGTTGTGGAATTATGCACCTGAAACCTGTATAATGTTGTTAACCAGTGTCACCCCAATAAATTCAATAAAAATTATAAATTAAAAAACAATAAAACTCTTTTACAGTAAGGTTGTACCATTTGGCAAAATCATTGTAAACTTTAAGTAAATTTTATGATATGTCAAAAGAATGAATAAGTGAATGATTGCCAATGGGTATTCTCTCTTGCATGGTAGCATATAGGGAATTTTGTATGATTCTGATTTCTATGGGTTGCACCCATGAGGGCTGTATTCTAAGGAATTTATCACCTGGCTCCATACAATCTATTATCTGAGATAATATTTTAAAATTCTCACCTGAGTTTGTTTATTGATTTTAGAGAGAGGAGTGGAGAGAGAGAGAAACATTGATGTGAGCAAGACATCAGTTGTCTCCCATATGTTCCCTGACCAGGATTGAACCCGCAACCTAGGTATGTGCCCTGACCAGAATCTAACCTGCAATCTTTTGTGCAGGGGACCGCATTTCAACCAACTGAGCCACCTGGCTAGGGCTGAGGCAATTTTTATTTGATTATGAACTTTGAGGCATTGGTTGGATCGATACAGCAATCAAGGAGGGAGTCTGTTCTTGGTGTAGATAAAGGCAACAATACCAGTTGAGACATTTAAAAACGTAGCCCACTGACCAAAAGAATTTTTTAGAGGAAGTGTTTACTCCAGTTGGCACAAGTGTGGTCTGCTAAATTGAGGGTTAGCTATCAGAGCCAGGAGAAAAAAAAGAGCTGCATCATATGACTAATTAAAAAAAGAACATGAAGCACAATTCCAAAAATACCGACACAATAAGCACAAACATATCCTTTGTCAACTTCACTATTTCTCTAAAAATTATTTCTTCTTACCTGTTTGTGGGTGAGTGCTTCCCTTCAGAGAAATCTTTTGCTTTGGGGCTGGAATTTTTCTGGACAAGAACCAGGCCTCTGATAGGTTGAATTATTCAAGTGTTGGTTTATGGTGGTGGTGTCAGATCCATGAGTCTATTTTCCCATCAGCCAATCATGGCAGGATCTGCAGGGAAACAAAAGGAGAGAACAGAAACCACTTGTTAAAAGAACCAGATGATCTGATCAATGTGTTCATTTCCAACAGCAGAATGAAGAGCAGAACAGAGCAGGAACCTCCTGAGGAAGAGATTCATGAAGTCTCAGTTGATGGCTATTTTCTTTCTTCCTTTCTTTCTTTCTTCTTTTCTTTCTTTCTTTCTTTCTTTCTTTCTTTCTTTCTTTCTTTCTTTCTTTCTTCCTTCCTTCCTTCCTTCCTTCCTTCCTTCCTTCCTTCCTTCCTTCCTTCTTCCTTCTTTCTTTTCTTTTCTTTCTTTTCTTTTCTTTTCTTTTTAAAAAAAAATATATTTTATTGATTTTGTACAGAGACGAAGGGAGAGAGATAGAGAGTTAGAAACATCGATGAGAGAGAGTCATCGATCAGCTGCCTCTTGCACACCCCCTACTGGGGATGTGCCCACAACCAAGGTACATGCCCTTGACCGGAATCGAACCTGGGACCTTTCAGTCTCTAAGCCGACGCTCTATCCATTGAGCCAAACCGGTCCCAGCTCTTTCTTTCTTTTTTAAAAAATATTTTATTGATTTTTTTACAGAGAGGAGGGGAGAGGGAGAGAGAGTTAGAAACATCGATGAAAGAGAAACATCTATCAGTTGCCTCTGCACACTTCCCACTGGGGATGTGCCCACAACCAAGGTACATGCCATTGACCGGAACCGAACCCGTGACCTTTCAGTCCACAGGCTGACGCTCTAGCCACTGAGCCAAACCGGTTTCGGCGATGGCTACTTTCAAGAGAACATATCACAGACCCTGAGTAAGGAGAAGTAGACAAGAAGAGTTAGTTTTCTCAACCACTTTACCCAACTTATTTTTAAACATATATTTTTATTGATTTCAGAGATAAAGGGAGAGGGAGAAAGAGATAGGAACATCAATGCTGAGAATCACTGATCAGCTGCCTCCTACACGCCTCCTACTGGGGATTAAGCTCACAACCCTAACTGGGAATCAAACTTTGACCTCCTGGTTCATAGATCAATGCTCAACCACTGAGCCACACCAGCTGGGCTACCTAACTTATTTTTGATAATTCCATTTATCTCCTCTATTTCCCAGAGCTCTGTGGGTGATACATATTTAGAAGTCCCCAGTGCCTTACACTCTATTATGTAAGATGTGCACCCAGAATGCTATCAACAATATAAGGTGATTTTATTATTTTACTTTACATACTTTTTTTTTTTTTTTACTGATTTTTGAGAGGAAGGGAGAGGGGGAGAGAAACATCAATATTGAGAGAGAACAATTGATCAGCTGTCTCCTGCATGCTCCCTGCTGAGTATTAAGCCTGCAACATAGGCATGTGCCTTGACTGGGAATTGAACCTTGACCTCCAGGTTCATAGGTCAATGCTCAACCACTGAGCCACACTGGCTAGTCTAAAAGGTGATTTTAAATAAAGGCATCAAATCATCTTGGAAATAAACTTGCTGACAGTGATCATGCAAACCCTTGCCTATGAACATGAGTATGATTTTACCCATTTGAAAAAGTCCACAATAACTAACCATTCGGTCAGGACCCTTTACCTTGTATAAAACTCATCTCAAAGGGAGAAGCTCCTCTCTTTGCTGTCATTTTCCTCCACATTGTGGACACTATGAACAGGGCAGCTCTTATAATATTGATAAGCTAATTTTAAAAACGTGGAGCATACCAATTATATTTAATTATTTTTAGCATCCCTCCTTGAATACTTTACTTATGAGTGCCTTCCTGTTAGAGAGCAAGTTTTTGGTGTGTTCTAGCAGCTGTCTGAGAAATGCCAGGGTGACTTTGGTGTAAAATACACCTTGTTAGTTTTATTGTCCTGAATGTAGGGCCTGATTTAGAAAAGAGAACTGAAGGAAGTGTTGGCAGGAAACAGCCTGAGTCTTGGCTGTCTCATTAATAAGAGAACTCTACTTATAACATTGTCGTTAAGAATTTTAACTTCTCTAGAAGTGAGGAAACATACTGTCTTGTCTCATGACCTAAGAGCACAACATGAGTGAGCCAGCACAAAAGAAAATAAAAATGAACGTGTTTCCTGCGAAGCAAAAGTTCACAGTCAGGTTGGGTAAGGACCTTAACACTGCTGCAGGGGAAAACACAGGAAACAAAAATCAACTTATTTCTTCATGTTAAGTGCAGAATGTATTCTCAAAGACTCTTAGTAAGAGTGGCCAACATTATTTAAAGCTTAATGCCTCTTAAAATAAAAGTAACCTGAAGATGCACTTCTGGAATGGCAGAGGAAGGACATCTGAAAATCCACTCCTCCATGAAAGCAAGAACACTGGCAAGATGTCAAACTCAGCTTTTCCAGAACTCTGGAAATTAACCCAAACTTTCAAAATCTAAGGTGTATTTATTTAAGAAAGACTGTTGGATCTCAGTAGGAAACAGCAAGCTCTTGGCATTTTTACTTTTTCCCCATCCTCCTCTCTCAAACTCTGGTAGCCTTCAAACCCAGCTATCTGTTTTCAGATAACTACAGTTACCACTATAGTAACTGTGGAAACAGAAGCCTGGGAGCCACTGGAGGGGACAGAGTAGGCGTGGAATTCCTCCCAGAGCCCTGTCCCTGGAGAAATGTCACTGGTTCGTCTGGCAGCTCCTGGTAAGAGCCCCCTTCACAGAGCTCGTCTTATTTGACTGACTCGGAGCTCTCACAGTGAGAAGCTCCATCCCTGCGTGTTTTCCAAATAATCATCAGCAAACTTAGACATCCCAACTCCCTGAGGAGGGAAACCAACCGAGACAAACCAGAAGCGGCCAAAAAACGTAGGAGAAATATTAGGAAGGACACGGAGATAGAAGGCTTTGAAAAGCTCTGACATACCCGGGGGTCTAGAAACCCACATGTGTTTGCAAAACTGTATGTAAACCCAAGGAACACATGAAAAGGCCCGATCTCTCATTTCTAATAACCTCGAGGCCTGGGTGAAGCAGGAAATGAGGGACAAGGGAGAGTAAACTTTCAGAGCTTTGAAGGCTTGCCTGAACCAACACACAGAATCCGTTGGCAAAGAGGGGAAGACATTTAAGAAACTCTCTGTCCACTCATTAGCTGACTGCTAAGCTAAATGGCAGAAATGACAGTGACCACACATGACAAAAAAAACAGGCTTTACAGATTTACTCCTTGAATGTCAATCAACAAATAGACAGGAACAAACATAAGCCTTGGGAGTATCTAATTTCCAAAGATGCCATAGAATGTCATTTAAAATGACCAGTTTTTACTCTGTTCCCCAACAAGATAAAACATGCAAAGAAATGGGAGAGTGTGGCCTATAGAAGGAGAATAAAAAGCAGTCAACAGATATTGTCCCTTACATTGAACTTATTAGTTTTTTTTTTTATAAATATATTTTTTTATTGATTTTTTACAGAGAGGAAGGGAAGGGAGAAGGATAGAGAGCTAGAAACGTTAATGAGAGAGAAACATCGAACAGCTGCCTCCTGCACACCCCCCACCAAGGATGTGCCCGCAACCAATGTACATGCCCTTGACCGGAATCGAACCCGGGACCTTTCAGTTCGCAGACCGACTCTCTACCACTGAGCCAAACCGGCTTTGGCTGAACTTATTAGTTTTTAAATCATCTATTATAAAAACGAACTATGTCTAACGGAATCAGGGAAAAATGTAAAAATGTAAAAATCAAAAGGAGAATATCAATAAAGAGATATAAATTTTTGTTGTTAATCCTATCTTGAGGACATTTTTTTCTATTGCATTTAAGAGAGAGTGAAAGAGAGGGAGGGAGGGAGAGAGAGATAGAGAGAGAAACATAGACAATGTGAGAAAGACACATTGATTGGTTGCCTCCCACACGTGCCCCACCTGCCACCAGGGGAGGGGAATGAAAGTGCAACCCAGGTGCATTCCCTTGATCTGGAATTGAACCCATGACCCTTTGGTGTGTGGGCCTACACTCTAATCACTGAGAAACACCAGGCAGGACAAGATATAAATTATTTTTTAATTTTTATTTCAAAAAAATTTTTAAATATATTTTATTGATTTTTTTACAGAGAGGAAGGGAGAGAGATAGTAACATTGATGAGAGAGAAACATCCATCAGCTGCCTCCTGCACACCCCCTACTGGGGATGTGCCCGCAACCAAGGTACGTGCCCTTGATTGGAATTGAACCCGGGACTCTTCAGTCTGCAGACTGACGCTCTATCCATTGAGCCAAACCAGTTTGGGCATAAATTATTTTTTTTTTTTAAATCAAATAGAAAATCTGGAGTATAATAATTAAACTTAAAAATTTACTAGAGCTGAAACCAGTTTGGCTCAGAGGATAGAGCGTCGGCCTGCGGACTGAAGGGTCCTGGGTTTGATTACGGTCAAGGGCATGTACCTTGGTTGCGAGCACATCCCCAGTGGGGGGGGGGGTGCAGTAGGCGGTTGATCGATGTTTCTCTCTCATTGATGTTCCTAACTCTCTGTTCCTCTTCCTTTCTCTCTGTAAAAAATCAATAAAATATATATTTTTTAAATTTACTAGAACTTTAACTTGATATTTTAAAAATCCTAATCATAATTAATGTAAGAAACTGGGAGATTTCCCACTAAGATCAGGTACAAGAAAAGGATTTTCCCTCTCCCACTCCCCTTCAACATCATAATAGAAGTTCCAGATAATGAAATAAAATAAGGAAAGGACATAAACAATATACAGATAGGCCCTAATTTGTTTGTCTCAGTGGGTAGAGCATTGGCCTGGGAAATGAAGGGTCCCAGGTTTGATTCCAGTCAGGGGCATGTACCTTTGTTGCAGGCACATCTCCAGTGTGGAGTGTGCAGAAGGTAGCCAATAAATGATTCTCTCTCATCATTGATGTTTCTCTCTCTCTCTCTCCCTCTTCCTTCCTCTCTGAAATTAATAAAAATATATTTTTTAAAAAGTAAATTGCCTTTCCATATACTAGCATCAAACAAATGGA